AAAACACTGCAGCTACGGTCCAAGCAAGCACAGTCACTTGGGGGCTGAAAATCAATAAATACTAATTTAAAAATTGGCTGAAAATGAGTATGCGCACTTGATTTACCCAGAACTCTGTGCAAATCCCCCTTGATTCTGGCTGCTGGCCATTTTCGTTCATGAAATTGTCGGATATCATCAGAAAACGCAGGATTTGTGCAGTTTTGAATAAAACCAAGTTAGCGATTATGAACAATGGTTATTAACGTAACACCTGATCCCCTCTAAAAAATTTGTTTCGCATTTTAAGGTAAAAAATCAAAATTTGAAACCGACAGGGTGTCGATTTACTAGGTGCCATGTTTAACAACTTGTTTATTTATATACGTATAGCGGATGATTTTTTTTTAAAAATTAGTATTTATTGATTTTTAGCCTCCACGTGACTGTGGGTCCAAGGTGTCCATGGCATTCAAAACAATTTCTAGAAGTATATTCGCTTCATTTTCATCTGCTTCACTGATCTGGAGCAAAAATGTCATCAATTACTGAACACTGGTTCTATTTTATTCTATTATATAGGTTACCTACTTATAACTGTGGGTATACTCCCTCCAAGTCTAACATCATTCATATTACGTTGATTTCTTTGTAAACATAAAATATCTTCATTCATATTTGTATCACCATTCTATAAATCTGTCGGCTGTGGTAGCTAGTTCTCGTCATGTTGGAGGCGGTACAGAATAAGGGCGGTAAAAATATTAGCGACGCCGGTGAAAGTTATTTGCATCAACAGTGTGGACCAAATTGAAGGTGCATATTGCGGTCGACATGATTCGCTGGTTCCCGGCGTCCCTAGCGAATAGCAGGCGTGGTACGCCGAGGCCAATCTCAATCTTCCGGGCAGAGTTCTAGTTCTACGAATATATACTTTCGGTGTTCTGGCCGCAAGAATCTCTGTGAAGGAGGATGACTTGAGGCGGGAACCAGCCAATTAAATAAATTACTAAATAACAAAATCGCCATCATTGACAGTGCGCCCTCAACATTCATACAATGATGTTTTTAAGTATTTGTTTTTTCTTCTTCTTTTATTTGAGTTATAAAAACAAAGTCACGAGTTGGAGAGAGTGATGTGATATATAATTATGACGAGTGATGATGCTGGTGAATATGACTCTTGAGTACAGTGGTGAGATGAATGAAATGAAAGAGCAGGAAACATGACACTTTCTCATAGGAAATAATCTCATGCAGGATGTTAAAAAAAAATTTGAATGGGTATTTGTTATCAGTTATGGAGAAGTTGTCTACTTTCAGTGTACGTCACTAGAAACGAAGGCATGCTTACAATTTTCCTTGAGGGAAAAGAACATTCCTAAAAGTAAAATTAAAAGAACTCTGTTATGTTGTTTAGAATTTTCATTATTTATTGATTCAACATAAACAATATTTTTGCATGTTTATTGCACCATGTATCATCAAAGTAAATTATCAATAAAAAATATTAATGAAAATAAAAAATTAAGTTACTAAACCCACTCCCATTGAGCAAATTGATCATGTGCCATATAAAATAGTAAAAATAATTGGTGCACAAGGCAAAACTTCACAGAAAATAGCTATTTACTCATATAATGAAATACACAGGGTATTCATGAGCAAAACATTACATCTGGATTTCACTACTCAATTGCAATAACTCATTGTATAAAAAAACAAAAGTAAATCTAAATGAGTGTTAATTATGCAACACTTTCAAATTCTTGTAATTATTATCTAAAAAGAATTTACATATTTATAATTAAGATAATACAACTATCATCAACTTTTACGTATTTTGTTTGTAATTGTGTAGTGCAAAATTATATAGTAATAGAAAATGTACTCTGGTTTTACCAAAAGAAATAAAATCAATAACATCACAGTACAGTAACAAGCATGGTGCTGTCTACAAGACTTTCCTGCGAGCAAGACGATAGCTACAGTCAAATAAAACCTGTCAGACTATGTATTATTTAGAATGAAAACTTTGCTAGCTGTTTGAAAACCCTGACTTATGCCACAGTGACCTTACCCAGTTGAAAATTGGCATTAAGAATTGAAATATGCAAATGTTTTGAGAGTTTGTACAATGTTAAATATGACTATTATTCATCTATAACAAATCATGACCACAAATGCTAAGTGAATTTTCACCGTGCATACATGCAAGCATTGTTCATTTCAACAGCTTATGTTTTCATACGCCTTACGGTACTGGAACATAATGGCATTTTAAACCATATTAGATTTGCACTCATAGAATGCTTATATACTCTTAGTAATATATTATTTCTCATCTCAATATATGCATCAATAAACTTAAGTAAGTTTTAAGTTTATACAGATATATCATCTTCTTCATCCAGTACTCGTGATCTCTGGAATTTTGACAGAAACTCCTACAAATAAATAGAACATTAAAAATGTCATAATACTGTTCCACCAAGTTTAAATGCATATGTTCTGCAAGTCTCAGTCTATGCTAGAAGTTCTAAATGGTGAGCGAAAAGCAATTAATTACCTTATCCACTTTGTCTTTCAGTTTTGGAGACACCCTGCTTTTAATATATGCCACATAGTTGACTGCATGCTCAAAGACAGTTGCTTTATCAGTTTTAATCGTACATCCTGGAATCAGTTCTTTCAACACATCAGCACTACGCTTTATACGAGCCCTGTGTGCAGAATATGGAATAGAAAGGAATACAAATTGCTTAAGTAAAGAAAATTTGACATTTTTATTTTATACTGTGGTATAATGGTCAATGATCAGATTGCGAGCCTGTGTTGATCAGTTGGCAGAAATGTAAGCATATGATGTTACAGTGAGACGGCCTATGAGATCCTAATTAATTCAATACCAGAATGTAGCAGATCAGTATGTTTTGGTTATTATTCTTTAGCTATGAGTAATTTTTACCTTCTTACTCTTTCTTTTGCATTGTGTTCATCATTTTTCTCCGGATTTCTCTTTTTAATACCCAACAAGTGAGCATCATCTAAATCTATTGCTTCAGTCAGGTGACCTTCGGTTTCGTCATCTTCCAGGTAATTGGGGGATATTGGACTTGAAGTCTTCTGTTCATTTCTGTAATGCATTTTGAAAACAACACGAGTCATTGTGATTGATATAGCAATAATACTGATCATCAGAAATTATTTCCATGATTAAGGAATAACAAAAGTGAGCCACCTTGAGCCAAATTCAAATTTTGCACTTATGAGCATATTACTGCATGTATACCCAGTGCATTGTGGGAGACAACCACCCATTGCATATACCTGGTAAAACCACTCTGTAACCTCAGAAAAAATATATGTCAATATACTATAAATATTTAAATATATAAATATGTTTTTTCCAGTATTAAGATTCATGCAAATAATAATATATGACTTTTTTCATACCATGTCACTGAGAAAAATGTTTACACTTTGGCATTCAAAGTGTTAATGTAACCAATCAGATTTGATGTTCCTGCCACATTACACCAATCAGATAATTTGTTCTAGTCACTCTCAACTAATGAGATATTTTATTTTATTTCTGACCTTCATTTAACTGATAA